TCTCAAAGAGGCAAAAGAGGCACTCAGGCATCAAATGTCCTAGAATTAGAAGGAGCCTCAGTGAACACACAACTCTACCCTCTACCTGGCCAGGATAAAACAGACAACCCCTAGGCACTGAGTGAGACAGTTTTGGGAATTGAGTAATCTGAGGTCTGGCCATCGTATGGGACTTACTGAAGGTCCTTCAGGGACCAATAGCAGCATGAGGATAGGAACCCCAATTTTGTTTCCTATCTTCACCACTTACTTATCAAAGGCAGTTCAGATTCCCTGACTATTCATAATGCAGGCGTCCTGCTATGCAAACCCACAGTCTACCAGACGAATGTAATTAGTTAGGCATTAATTGATATGTGGCTGTGACTGCAAAATTTTAGTTAACATAAAATTTGACCTATAGCACAGGTCACATTTCTTCCTTCTTGTTCATAGTGGGATTCATGACTATTACTGCATTTGTATGTGTAGTGTTGATGGAAGGAAAAATTAAAGCCAGGATTGCAAGTGGATCCTTTGGAAATTTGGTAAGCAGAGTGGTTCTGCTTTGGCATTGAGTCTGTAGATCACCAAAGGATAGTCTCTTGCTTCTTGAATAATTTTACCTTAGGGTGTGATTTATATGACACATTTCAAAAGGACAGTCAGGACAAGTACCAGTGAGATGTTGAGACACAGATGGTCTAGCAGTGCTCATGTGATGGGGCAGCTGTAAAAAGTGAGTGAGTTACAGTAATCATGGAGGAAATGAGGATTCTGAGTGTGATGATGGCAGCAGAGACCACCGCATGAAGTGTGGACCTCGGATCTGCAAGCATTAGTGCAGTAAATTTCACCACAACTCTCTGAGGGAAGAGCTCTTGCCATGCCTCTTTTCCAGATAGAGTTACGGGATACTTAGGTGGGCTGTGTCATTCTACTTTGGTGCTGAAGGGAAAGAGTGCTTTAAGAGGACTGAGCCAAGTAAACATCCCATGACTATTATAGGTGGTGTGTGCCTTGGGCTTTAGAATTGAAGGTTAGAAGGCTTGATAGAGGATAGCAGAGGAAAGCTAAAAACAAGTTAGTTTTAGACAGTCAGGGAAGACGTGGCTTCCATGTTTGAATACTGGATCAAACACTTATGATCACTATCTTTGAAATAAGATGGAGGTAAACAGTAATGACTAAAGCAATTGTAGCACTTTTTTTCTCTCCTTCTCATTCCTATAGAGGTGTTTAAATATTTCCAGTTGTAATTTCTGGAGAGAAACAACAATTCTACTCAGTAATTTGGCACACTGGATTTAGGCTACATTTAGCAGGTGAAGTCTTTGCTCTCCACTGCCCCTCACCAAGACCCTCCTTATTACAGTAGAACCTGCCTTTTGAGCCATTTCTGACACCTTTCTCTCTCTCTTTATCCTTTGCGTACCTTTAGCTCATTTAGGCAATGAAGGGGCTAATGAGTTAAATGGAATTATAATATCCTTTCTGAGAAAATGGGAATGTGTGTGTACATGTTTGTATATGTGCGTGTTGGTATATAAGGAAATGCAAGTACTTAAATCAGATTATCTGAAAAGATATAGCCATTTATCCATTCACTCAACAATTATATACTAAGTGCCAACTATATACCAGTTGCTGTTCTAGACACCAAGAATTTAGGAATGGGGAGAGGTTAGAAAATAAACATGTAAATATATAATACATCTGATATCAAGTACTAGGAAGAAAAAGATATTTAGGCAAGGGGCAAGGGCATGCTAGTTTATACAGACTAGGAAGGGAAGAACTAGGTGAGAAGTTAACATTTTTAAAAAATTTCAGATTAATACAAAGATACAGATGATTAGATTGCATTATTTGCATTTCTCAGGGTAGGGGGTGAGGAGAGAGGGAGAGGAAAGGAGGGAGAGGGATTGGTAAGCTCTTACTTAATGGGCACAAGGTAAGAAGTTGTTATGCAGCCTTAAAGAAAGATGGAGACTTTACCTCTTACATGTTTACGTGGATGGAGCTGGAACATATTCTTCTTAGCAAAGTATCTCAAGCATGGAAGAAAAAGTACCCAATGTATTCAGCCCCGCTATGAAACTAGTTTATAGTTTTCTTATGAAAGCTATAACCCATTTATAGCCCAAGAAGATGGGGAAAGGGGAGAGGGAGGGGAGAGGAGGGGGGAAGATGGGTGGAGGAAGGGTAATTGGTGGGACCACACCTATGGTGCATCTTACAAGGGTACATATGAAATTTACTAGGTGTAGAGTATGAATGTCTTAACACAATAACTAGAAATGCTGTGAAGGCTATGTTAACCAGTTTAATGAAAATATTTCAAATTGTGTGTTGAACCAGCACATTGTACCCCATGATTGCATTAATGTACACAGCTATGATTTAATAAAAAAAAAAAAAGAAAGTTAGCATTTGAGTAGAAACAAGGAAGAGTGAGCCAGGTGAACATCTGACAGAATATTCCAGGCAAAGAAAGAGCATGTGGACAAGTCCTGAGGCCTGTTAGAGAACTAACAAGCAGGCAATGTGTTTGGAGCAGATGAATGAACAGTTGATCTTTAAAAGATGATGCTGGAGAGGTATTTGGCACAGGGTAGCAATTCACAAGGGGCCTTTTGTAGCCCAGTATAAGGAGTCTGACTTTTATTCTGAGTGAGATGGGAAACTATGGTAGAGTTTAGGAAAGAATTTCCAATATAAAGTTACAATTTTGGCCACTTTGTTACATGATAGAAGAATCTAGTCTAGTGTTTTTGCAAACCACTTGCAGGAGGGGGATGGATTTAACTGATAGAGTGCCATGGCATGATAGCTCACAGCAATCTCAAATTCTTGGGCTCAAATGATCCTCTTGCCTCAACCTCTCGAGTAGCTGGGACTACAGGTACCTGCCACAAGGCCTGGCTATTTTTGAGATGGAGTCTCATTCTTGCTCAGGCTGGTCTCAAACTCCTGAGCTCAAGCAATCCACCCAGCTCAGGCTTCCAGAGTGCTGAGATTACAGGTTTAAGTCATTATGCCTGGCCAAACCATCCTTTACAAGAAAGATGTCATAAAGACGGAAGTGTTTTTTAACGTTTTAATTATTTGCTCTCACAATATCACATAATTTTATTATAAGTAAATATTCCTATGTTACAGAAAATTTGGACATCAGAGCAAAATGGTAGCTGTATCAGTTAAAGTTATTTGGTTATCAACAGAAATGAACTTTAAAATATTTTTTTTATTAAATCATAACCATGTACAATTATGGGTTATGATATGCTGATTTGATATACAATGTGGAAGGCTTAAATCAAACTGATTAACATAACCATCATCTCACTTTCTTATTTGTCTTAAGACTTTTATACTCTACTTTTCATAGTTTTGCAATATACCATTGCATTGTGCACAGTAAGTAAGGTCCTACCAAATACCCTCCTTCCTCCCGTTCCCCCTCCTTTCCTCCCCTCTCCGTCTTCTCCCCGCCTTCTTTCTGGACTATAGTTGTGTTTCATCATTTGTATGAATGTGTAGGTGATGGTATATTGGTTTCATAATAGTATTGAGTACTGGATACTTTTTTTTTTCATACTTGAGGTACTTTACTGAAAAGAATATGTTTCAGTTCTATCCAGGTAAATATAAAAGTTGTAAAGTCTCCATCCTTTTTTATGGCTGCAAACTTTTCTTTAATTTTTTTTTTTAAATTTCAGATTAATGTGAGGGTACAAACAATTAGTTTATAATGTCTGAATTTGTTAGGTAGAATCACTCTTGTAGTTGTGTCCTGCACCCAAGAGGTGTGCCATATACCCTTACATTGTACCCATTAAGTGAAAGCACCCCAATTTCCCCTTTTCCCTCTTCCCATGCCCCTCCATTTTAATTATTGTATTGAATTAAATTTTTGTCTTATGTGGGTGTGTTTTAGTTGGTCTATTTGCTTCATATTAGAATTAAATACATTGGATACTTGTTTTCCCATTCTTGTGATACTTTACTAAGAAGAATGTATTTCAACTCCATCCAGGTTAATACAAAACATATAAAGTCCCCATATTTTATGGTTGAATAGTATTCCATGGTTTACATATACCACAGTTTATTAATCCATTCCTGGGTTGATGGGCATTTAGGTTGTTTCCACATGTTGGCAATGGTAAATTGAGCTGCAATAAACATGCTAGTGAAATTTTCTTTAGAAAAGGAAATTTATTGGGAAGGTAGTGAGTAGCTTACTAATCCATGGGAATCATTCTGAGAAATCAGACATAGAAATAGATAGGAATCAAGACATTAGATGGGGGAGATTGGCAGGTGGGGGTCTCAGAAACAGGAACTCTTCTCATGCTCCTTAGAATGCCACCACTGGAATTCATGAGCTCTTAACATTTCTTATCTTCTTTTTCCTTTTGTTTCGTACTCATTCTGAAGCCCAAGGATGTGTGATTCCAGCTATGGTAGGACAAGACAGGCAGGAGAAATTTTTCCAGGAAATTAGAGTCCGTTATCAAAAGATTGTATAACAGGTGCTGGTTATCTAAAATGCTACACATGCCGTGGATGATGTGGGTCTGAATTGTACTTCCCCTATAATTCTTAATGTTTTGTCACATTTTTTTCTATCTCTATTTTTTGTACATTTCCCAGTTTTTAAAAAATTAATCTTGTGAGCTTATTTTATCTGTTGCTAAATCATAAATTTAGTAGCCTTCTAGTTCTTTACATAGCCAGTTTCAAATTGCTAGGCATTGAAATTGTTAACAGAAAAAATATAAATAAAGCCTCAGAGAATAGTAATAGCTACCCTAAGCTGGCTTAGTAATAACAGGGCTTCTATTCCTGCATGTCTGAGTGACCCCATTGTGCTTCTAGAAGAGAAGACAAGATAGAATAAGTCTAAATTTTTGCACAAGTGTATAAGTAAAGAGGCTTTCATCGGTCATGGGAACTGTTAGAACAGGGTGGACCTTATCCTCTCAGGGATTAACAACTTGTTCCTTGTCCTTTAGGGGGCAAGCTCATTTTCCTGGCTCCAGGACCCATCGAACTCAGGGCCCACGCCATCCTTGTTTCTGATGGTGGAGAGCTCCGAATTGGATCCGAGGACAAACCCTTCCAAGGGAAAGCTTGGATCAAACTCTATGGAAGTTTCTACTCGACCCGCTTCTTTCCTTATGGAATCAAGTTCCTGGCTGTGAGGAATGGAACTCTTTCCCTGCATGGTGAGTGAGGCAAGTGACCAGAGGAAATGAAGTAGTGCTGTGTCTAGCAAATGTGGGCACTGAAAAAATGGTAAAACAATTTAAAAATCTTTGGCTGTTAGCTGCTGAGGCAACAAGGTCAACTAGATCATGGCACTATTGGCTTACATAACAAATACAATTCTTATGATTCCTGGGGAGTGTATACTACAGTTGGTTACCATTTATTCACTCCTCTTCCTGTGAGAGGAATGTGTACACCCTGCCCTGATAGTGGTCTCAGGTGACTTTCAGTGCCTGCTGTGGTTGGACCTTCCTTCCCTGACCCACTGGTGGGATCAGCCATGAACAGAAATGATGCACTGCACAGCCAGGTGGAAGTTTTAAGAGCTGTTCTGAAGCTTTAGCCATTTTTCTTTCTTCTTCCTACTCAACAATAGCCTGTCCCAGATACGGGACAGTTTCTTCAGCTTGGGAACCTGCACAGAGATGGCAGGGGCAGTGATGCAGCTGGCCTGCTGCTGTCACATATGTGAGTGAGGAATGAGTCTTGGTTGTTGTAAGCCACCAGGGTTTGCATTTGTAACTGTGGTACCACCTAGTGAAAACTGGCAGGTACAAGTAGTTAGCATACACTGATGCATCGCAACCCTTAATAAGTAGCCTGGCATCCCAAACCTAATAGAGACGACTTCATTTTGTTGTTATTGTTGAACCCCTTCCTGGTGAATAAGGTGTAATTATGGTTCTACTTAGAATCTTCTTCCAGGTGGGTTGGGTGTTTAAGGATTCCTAGGAGGAAACAGGGAGTAGGTTACAATGTGTTTCTGCTCTGACTCTATTTGCCTTCTGATGATCCAATTCTCCTTTGCAAGGTGGACATCCTTTCCCCTTTGAGATTCAGGTTAATTTTGAGTATCACCTGGGAACTAACAGCATACAATAATGAATGTTAGGTATATTTCAGTGGCTCCTACTATACTTTTGTTTGCACAGTGCAGTGCTAAAGGCAGATCAAAGTGTGGGCAGCAGACAGTGACTCTCCACAAAACAGACAGCCATTGGCATTTCCATATTGGCATTACAAAGTAAAACCCACTTCGCCCAGAGTAGTTTCCGGATGTAGTCAGAAAGCTATGTCAAGGGGTCTGCCATTTTTTTCTGTCCAGGGCTGTGAGCCTCAATCATTGTCCATCAAAATGCACTGTCTTGAATCCTTTGGCTTTCTCTGAGAGGAAGTGAGATAGTTTCCTCAGGCATTTATTAAGTGTTGATTCTGGGCTGGCCAGTGTGCTGGACACTGAGGATATAATTTTGTAAGATTTAAGAAACCCATAACTATCTGGACAGAAATTCAAAATGCTTGTTATTTTGATCCTTATGATTTACTTCTAAGGAGGTCTTTTTTCTCCTATCTTCATCAGCCAGCTCCTATACTGATTTTGTAGCCCAGATCTATTTACATATCTGCCACAATTTTCAAATATTTGTTTTAGTTTAATGGCCATGTAGGCCAAAAACCCAATGTGCTGCTGTTTCGTAATCAAAAAACATAACTAGAGAATGAGAGGGCCTACATCAGTGTTTCAGCCAGGTGAAGGGGTCCTCCAATTTGAGGGCCACGGTCCAGTGCAATGTAGATGGCATGACTCATCAGAAACTGGAGTTCAAATGAGGAGAAACAAAAATTTTCCTAATTCTTTTACTCTGCCTCTTTCATTCCAAGCTCCTTCTGTTCTCATGTTCTGTTGTGATGAATCAGTGAGCATTCAAGATACCATTATGCACCTGTTTTTTCAATGTCTCCTGTGCTTGTAAGCCTCTGTGATTGAGCAAATGTCCAAGTCCCTAGTGCCTGCCATTGGTTATAGTCATACGGGGTGATTAAAACTTTGAATGTTTTAAGAATTCTGGAAATTTAAGTAAAAAATGTCACCACTCTAGTCATGTGATGTTCTAGGATATTGAGTGAGACCTCCTCTCCCTCTGCTTCCCCGGTTTCCATCCTCTCCCTCCTCTTCTTCCTTCCCTCCCCCTCTCCTTCTTTATTCTTTTGCTCCCTCTTCTTCCTCTCCTCTGCTCTTTCTTGTACTCCTAGATTATTTGTCTTTAACAACTGCTTCCCCAAAGCCCTGCCAACATAGGAATGACTGGGGTCTTACCTGAACTAGAGCTTGCACATTGAGTGCAGACAAAGTCAGGCTCGTTCTACTCTGATGTGATGCTGCCACATCTCATTCATTTGAAAGAAATATTATGTAGAAAAGAGCTTGGCTATTTGGGTGCGAGGAGTTCCCTTCCTAATGTTATCTGTCAGAGAATCAGTCCCACGTGCAGCTCATCAATCCTCTCCCATTGCCTCTCCCTCATCACCCACCTGAGGTCTTGAACAGATTTCCCCTCCGGCGTGGTGGTATATCATGGTTCAAATCATTATATAATTCCACTGGCCTTTTCCAAGGGCCAAAGGTGGGTCTGGTGACACTGAGGCATTAGGGAAAGACTCATTTTCTTTTGCTGTCAAATATGCAAAACAGTGAGCAACTTGATTCACTGCCGTGCACCCAGAAGTTCCCTAATGACCCAGCATTCCCTCGGCCTCCCGGGATAGTGCAGTGAGGAGATTCACCAACTTTGGTGCCAAGAAGTCTCTTCTGGGAAGATTTTTTAAAATCTAGATTTCTGGGCCCAGAAATTGTTCATTTCAGAGGGACTCCCATGTGATACACTGATTTTAGTGGTAAATCGTTTGGGAATCAATAACTGGTCCAGTTTTACTGCTTATCAGGTCTGATCTTGGATACATCCTTCTCTATAAAATGAGAAAAGCACAGTCCCCACCTCGTATTTCTTGTTTGTGGAGTATTAGGCACACACCGTGGGAGCCCCATTACTTATTGCTGTCTTGGTTATATTCTTTTTCTTTTTCCAGCACTGATTTTCTCACTCACCATATTTTCTTTCAGGGGTGAGAAAATGTGGGGAGTGGTTTCTCTTTCAAAGTTTGGCACGAGGCCAGCTCTGCTGGGAGATTTTTCTCCTTACTGATTTTCTTGCCTATCTCTTTACATCAGAGTAAAAGTGGAGGGTTGGTTAGCTTTGGAGATCAGGAGGAAACAACATTCCCAGGCATCTTTTGTTCTGTTCCCACTCCTCAGTGAACACCTTCAGATTTTAATCTTTCAGTGCAGCTGCTTCCCAGCAGTGAATAACCACCATTCCCCGGGCGTGGTGACAACACAGCCTTCTTGGAAACTATTTGCATGGGCTCCCGTGTAGCCAGAAGCAGGACACTGGCCAGCAAACGAGGCAGGCATTTGGTTCCTGATATCCGGCAGCATGTGTGGACTAATGGATTCTGTTTTAACTCCTGCTCAGGTCTCACAGAATCACACAAATGGGGCTGCTTGTGCAGCTATCACAAATGGGGCTGCTATCCCCACCTCCTCCCTCCCATCTCCTTCATTATCGTCATTGCCCTTTGAAACCCTCCTGCTCCAGCTGATTTTTGTTATAGATTAAAATCAGTAGGCAAATAGGCTTTGTTATTTAGCTGTCACAAGGAAAGATGCAGCTGAAAGCATGTTTGGTGTTCTTTGAATGTTGGAAAACTCTCACCTGCTCAGACACTCACATAAACACACCTGCATGTACACACACCCACACATGGCGCTGTTTTTCTTTTTCTCTCACTCTGAGAGTAGATAGGGACAGGGCATGTTCTGAATCTCCAGTGGAGTTGAGATTGTTTAGTAAGTTGTCAGCTGTTCACTTTGATATGTTAATATGACCAAAGGGTCTCAGGATTCCTCCAGTGTGGTGGGCTGGGGTTTGGGTAATTGTAGTCAAAAAGGAAATTTCACCCTTCCCCTTTGCCTTCACCACCCTGTCTGCCAGTCTGGCTTCACTGCCCCAAACTCAGTGCCAATCACCTGTCACCCTTCAAGGGGGCCGCTGTCAGCCCGGGCAACTTGAATTTTTGACAATGTAATTACGACTCTTGCTTCCACAGTGGGAGTCGGAGCAGGATGGTGGGGCTTTTATTGATTGTTCAGCAGGGAAATTTATCAATGTCTCTCACTTCATTTCCAGTTCCTCCCTGAGAAATTTGGCTGACAGTTTCTTAGGACAAAAAGCAGTCTCCTGGCCTTGACTGGCTTCCGTCTTTGTCCTTTTCAAGAAATTACGAGACATAGGCATTAAGTATAAATGGAAATTTCTGAGAAAACCTGGTTTGTGGGACATGATTGAAGAAAACACAGGGGCAGTTGTTGTGAACATGAGCGTTTGTTAGAAAGAAATGAGGAAAAAGTGGTCTAAATCAGGAAGTTTAAATAAGGCTTTCCTTCTAAAAGTACCAAGTATTTGTCCTTAAATTCCATGCTTTTTTACTGGTTCTGTATTATGTGTGCTATTATCATAGTTGCTGTAGAGTATCAGGCTGCCTTTAAGCGTGGAGCCAGCATGCGTGCAGAAGTGGTTTTCATATTGTGCTTCACAAAATCCACATGTGTCCTGGAGGGAGTTCCACAAACAATGGAATATTTGGGGGTTCAGGAGTAAAGGCTTAAATTGCTCAAGTAATTGATTCATTGCTTTTATCTCTATTACATATTTGTGTTCAAAGTAATATTTCATTAGAAGAAAGGGTTCCAGTATTAAAATCGTGCTTTAAAAAAACTCTACTAGGTCCTTTTTTTTTTTTGTAGTTTTTGGCCAGGGCTGGATTTGAACCCACTACCTCCTGCATATGGGGCCAGTGCCCTGCTCCTCTGAGCCATAGGCGCCACCTGACTAGGTGATTCTTTTAACTGCAGTATGTGGATCCTTTTGAGGAGTTGAGGGACTCTCTTTGCATGATTCCTATTTCCCCAAGACTGAGCTGTGGGACATTTTCTATGATGCAGGTTGAAACTTTCTGGAGTCCATTTTCATTTCATAACAGTTCCTCTTTATCCAACAATGTATGTTTAGGTCTCTGCTCTTCTGTCGTCTGATGAGTTTCCAATTCTGTCCCTTCT